TATGAGCTTGGACATCACTTACATGATGATGATGATCTTTATGAGTTAATAAACTCTCAACATACGCAATGATTTCGATGGCACTTATACGTTACAAGTTCTGAAACGTATTATTTCGAATATCTTCCTAATCTTTTTTATGAATCTATAAAATTAAACTCGAAGATTTTTATTAAAGGCAGAGCAAACCCTGAATCATTTTGTTTTGCTTTCGTATTTTGTCTTTAAAATGTTTGTGATTGTATATGCTATCAAATGAACTGAAAACATATAAATGCACAATAAAGACAGTAGGTACACGTTTTTAAAAACTAAATTTCCTTTGAGCTTGAAAGCTTTTAAATTTTGTATGTGTAATTTAGTTGAAGTCCGTTAGCAAGAGTTTTCGGTTATGAGCAATTTTGACTTTTATTTCTATTCGTAAAAAATCATTGTTTATGTATTTAAAGGCAACCAGTAGGTACGGTTAATAAGAGTCCGAGTACAAAAGTGTAGTTTTCGTTAAAAGTTCTGTAACTCAATAGACTATTTACGTGAAAAAATAAAACGAATTTCGGCCTGTTAACTAAAATCTAGTAATTTTCCTAGTTTCAATAGTGAACGTGCAAAAATATTTAAAATACACATTGTGGGTAATGAGAATTTATTTTGGCCTTCTGATCGTTTACAATTAGCAGCGTTTTGAATAATTTGTCGTCGAGTTCCACCGTATTACCGTCATTACACAAAGACTTTCACTAGCACAGCTTAATTTGTTTTTCCAACTACACCTTCTTAATTGCATTTTTAGCGCATTTTTGAAAAAAAATACGCTATTATATTCGTCATTGCTGGCAGGCCGGCTGTCCGCGTTAGATCTCCACAACTACAATAGCTAGAGACTTCAAATTTTCACTAAAAGCTTTCTGCTATAGTGTAGATGTGCAGGCACTAGTCTATTTTGAGTTAGATTACTTGTGAGATCCATAATTGAAGAAAATAATTTCGATATGGGTTTCGGAGGTGCTATAATTTTACCGTTAGATAGCGCTACCAGTATAAAAACTTATTATTTACTTTGTGATTTGTTTTACAAAATGAAGACGTACCGTCAATTGAAATTAAATAAAATTAATTATTTAACGCAGCTCGTGAGATCGATAATTTTAAACTTCGCTAATAAAATACTGACCTGCATTACCAAAAATGCGCTTTAATCATGCATATGCTGATTTACAACTTGTTTCAATTCCTTTCTTATCTCGCTTAGTAAGCGACAGTAGTTGAGAAATTAACATCGATTATTACCAACTAGATTGATACAGCTTCTTAGTAGTGACCTCGTGCAACCCCCGTTGAGTGTGGATATCTTAAATGCATTTGATAAGTAAGTTGGTTTAAAGCATATAGCGGTCGACTACGTGACCACGACCCTGGAAAAACTCGAGGTCAAAGTCCAAGACCACGACCTTGGAAAAACTCGAGGTCAAAGTCCAAGACCATGACCTTGGGGAGGTCAAAGTCCAAGACCATGACCTTGGGAAAAACCCAATGCTACGACAAGTTCATAGTCCAAGGCCATGACTTGAGGGAAATACCCAAATAAGAAATGTACGCTCTAATTTCAGTTAGTATTTGACTAACGACTCATTAACATCACCTAACGTATTGTTACAAGTTTTATTAGCCTCGCATAATCTACTGCAGTTTACGTAATTATACAGTGCTAATCTGTGCATCTCTCTTTCTTATATGTGTTAGGGTGTGTGTGTGTGTGTGTGGATAAACTTGGAAAAAACAAGGATTTTCAAACAAAAACTAAGAAAAAGTAAGTACACAAATATTTTCTTGTTTTGCTTGCTTCTCGCTTTGCTTTTTCCTCTTCTTCTTCTTTGTAAAATTTGAAATGTATGGATTACCATTTTCTAAGAGTATGTACTTAGATTAGGTTTGTAATACAACATCTCTTATTTTTCTCTACACCTCTCTCTTTTAAATTCGCTAGGAAAATCCCAGAGCACAATTTTAGTCCAACTCAAATCCCAGAATCCAAATCACACAATCTCAACTCAGCATCCAAGACCACGACCTTGATCCAGAATCCATAATCACAACCCTGCCCCAGGATCCAAGACCATGATCCTGTACCAAAGTCACGATCTTGGGAAAAACCCCAAGACCACGACCTTGGGAAAACCCAAAGCCACGACATTGGGAAAAACCCAAAACCACGACCTTGGGAAAACCCAAAGCCATGACCTTGGGAAAAACCCAAAGCCACGACCTTGGGAAAAACCCAAAGCCACGACCTTGGGAAAAACCCAAGGTCAGGGAAAAACCCACGACCTTGGGAAAAACCCATGACCTTGGGAAAAACCCACGACCTTGGGAAAAACCCATGACCTTGGGAAAAACCCAAGGTCAGCTGACGTCACAAAATCCAAGATGGCGGCGCAAGGGCCTCTCTACTACTGTTGTTGCACACCCACATCTTGTACATCCAGGGCCAATAGTTAATAGGGATTTTTGATACGGGTTCTATGATCCCAAGTGCCGGGTTGGATCATATTCATAATGATTCCTGAAGGATTTGCGTTCATCACGTCAGGTATCACTAATCACTGTAGATTAGTGATATCGTCATCTCCGTCGTTAGCTGTACCGGTGCAGGGACATCCATCTCACAGCCAGATAACCATCGAGCGGCTGGTGACGAAAAACATCCAATTATTTTTTATTAAAATGTGGTATTGTTTTGCGGTTCTCGGTCTGGCCGTTGTCCGTGCCAGACCCACCTCTATTGTGTTAAATCCACTTTTAGGGGAATGGCAACTAGAGTGGAATTTTTGCAATAGGGGGGGTAGCTTACACCTTGGAAGGGATGTAGCACAAATTCGTTTGTTTCTAGGGGGCATGAATTATTTCCCGAGATGCGGTTTTAAAAGTAAGGCACTTTACATGCGACAACCAATTGGTTTCAAATTCTGCACGCGTGTGGCTGTAATGGTGCCAAGTAAAACTTTTGAAAATGGGAGACGGGGGACGGGGGGATTAACACACATTCAACCCTTCCTGGTATTGTGATGAGAGGCTCATCGAACGGAATTCGCTTGTACAAACTATAACTTTCCAGAGTGACTCGTTTTTGAGATCAGGGAATGCCCGGGTAAGGGGGGTAGTAGAACTACCGCCCTTCCTTCTGACCTCTTATTAAAAGAGGGGGAGGGGGCTGGTTTTATCCTTCACGGTACTCTAATGGCAAGGCTCAACCAAAGTAATTCATTTCTACCGACCATAGTCCTTCTCCTCTTCCCCTTATCGCAATCGGATATCTCAATAACAGATTGTCGAAGGAGGGTACTCACAAAGGACGATTGGGCCGTCTAGAAGAAAACTTTAAGAGCGAATATCTTCAAAACGAAGTGTCGGACGAGGGTACTCATAAAGGGGAAGTGGAACGTCAGCACGAAACATATTTACTGGGGATTGGTCAAATAAATATAGCTTGCTACTACCTTATAACCCAACCATTTACTAAGATATTTCGGTTTAAAAAATGCGCTTTATCGTTTAAAGTCTTGAAGAACTGTTGTTCGGACGTCCACCACCAGGCAGCGTTTTCTTAGTTACCTTGTTGAGGGGCCTAGCTAGAGCTGCAAGGACTTTTATGAATCTCCGATACCACGAATGAACTGGTTTGGAGAAAGGTGAGGACTTCCGGCGTATTTTGTGTGGCGGTCCCCTTTTCTGGGTTCGGGCGTATTTCTTTCTCCGATATAACATGACACAGTGTACCTACCTATGTAACTTCCTTGCAGCAGAAGTGGCATTTGGTTCGATTGGCACAAAATCCAAACTCCTGGAGAGCTTTGAGGAGGATCTCTACGGTCCTGATGTGTTCTTCAAGCGTTGGCGATAACAGTATATTAGACCGTCCAAATAAGCGAGTAGGTGCTGAACCAGGGGCACGAACTTATAAATTAAGATGGACTGCTAATGCTGAATTAACAAATGACACCTACATGGGGGCCGCCATGATGTGCACTCACTTGGCGCGAAATTCAAATCAACTAATAAACAAGCATTAACCCAACATTAACCTCACGTTTTCTAAATAAATTACTGTGACACATGTCATTTTCCAAGGCTGCAATAGTCTCAAAACTTGAGCACTAGGAAAATTCCCCTAGAAAATAACTAAAATGTGCACATCATGGCGGCGCCCATGCTAGGGCCATTTCTATCTCTATGCATCTGTTTGATCAGCAGTCCATCTTAATTTATAAGTTCGTGACCAGGGGTCTCTTAAACTAGTCTCTGGACGGTTGCAGGTGCGTTCCGTGATCCGAAAGGCATCCGTATAGAACCGGCATTGATCTTTTTCCCTGAGACGGTGGAACTCGCTTTAATAGCTGGCTGGTACCGTTGGACGGATTGCATTAGTTACCTATCTCAAAAACGACACTCACATTTTAAGTGTCTAGTCAGGTTGTCTACCGTATCTGTTTGTTTTCAACCGAAAAGTGCAATTATCGGAATGTACGAAGCAGAGTTGATGCGTTATCTACAAACCCAACATGTTCTATTATAATGCCGTAGGGAGAAGGTAGAGAAAGAAAGAAAGAGAGAAAGAAAGAAAGGAAGAGAGAGAGCCTATTCATAGCATATTCTCCATTGTATTGGCAGAGTGTGTGAGGAACAATGATACCTAGTAGGAAAGAGGATCAAAAACATGTGACTCACACAATTTACCTGGTGATTGGGATGTGCCAAAAAAACACTTTTCATGGGAAAGATAATAAAAATGACGTTTGTGATCGCTATTATTTCTATATCTCATATAAACAAATTTAGATCTATTTACTTTAAACGCTTGCATTGTTTGCAACATTTACAATTTATCTGGAACGAAATGAAACCTTTTCTTGAACCATTAGAGTTAGAGTCAAGACTACTTGGTCACCAAACCAAAACTAGCGGCCAAAAAGGTTCCAAAATCCCTAATTTCCTCTATTTTTCAGGAACAATTCAACTTCAAAGGCTTGGACGAATTATTCGAGCGCTACACTGAGAGAATAAATCAAGGATACTTCTCAGTATTTCTAATACTGCAATTTTTATTCAGCGTGACCCATTTCTCAATTGTTTTCGGTGTAAACCTGGTAAGTACGTCGATGATACAGTTTGGGTATAATCGGGAATTGTTTTTAAGGTCTCGCAAACCACCGAATCCGTTCTTCCCGATTTAATACTTTACGGTATCACGGGATGTTTGTCCGTAGGAATTCTGATGATGAACGAGCGATATTTGAAGCATAAATTTTACATTGTAAGATACGTCGGATTTCTTATGTTAATTCTTGTGTACATCTCCGATTGGTCTGTGCCGGTATATGGTGTATACAGGAATGATCCACATCTGCGACCGGCCTACGTCACCCATATACTTATTGTGATATTCTGTTTCCTGGGTATTGCCAGTGATTTGCTGGTATGCACGCTTGGATTGGTTGTGACGCTTACCCACTTGCTGACTCTGGCCTTCGTAACGTATAGCGATTACACCTACTTCTGGCAGAGAGTAAGCCTCTGCGTGGTAATGGGCACTTGTCAGCGACTTTCTCTTCCAGCTTGGATCAGACTGCATATTTTTGCTGTCCATAAATGTGATTGGGCTTTACTACCGCTGGGCGAGCGAGTTGAACAAGCGAAGAGCCTTTTTGGATCACAGAGCTTGCGTGGAAGCTACCTTGAAACTAACATTCGACAAGGAACAAGAGGTGCGTATGTTGTCTGTGGGTTAGAGCTAATCCCAGCAATCCTTACAGGAGCACCTGATGTTGAGCATAATTCCAAAGCATACAATAGATAAGGTACGCAAGGATATTTTGCGCAAAATTGAAATCGTGGAACGGATGGAGAATATTCCGCGCAGTGATCCGATGGAGTAAGTCATACTAGGTCGGGTTCCAAGGTGTCATTACCTCTAGGTTTTTCAGAATACCGTACGTGCAAGAATACGACAACGTAACCATTTTATACGCAGACATTGTTAATTATACTGCCATGACAACCAAGTTACCTGTAATCAAGCTGGTTGATGTTTTGAACGAGCTCTTCACTGGATTTGATGATGCCTCTGAGGTGTTTGATCAGAACTAAAGTAGTGCGTTAGTAATGGTAATTTTTAGCAATTAAATGTGTTGCGGATTAAGTTTCTGGGAGATTGTTACTACGGCGTGGCTGGCTTACCACCGAACCCAGCACCGAACCACGCCGAAGCTTGTGTGGATTTGGCCTTGAAGATGATCTCAATTATTCGCACAGTCAGGTAAACTCTCCGTTCACGTACAAAACAGCTGGGCAGATGACGCGAACAGAATACCGGCGATTAATGATAACGACAATTTTTCAAGTAGTCACTGATTGCTCTAAATTTATATCTAAATAACAGCACTGACCCCCCGCAACAGCTAGGCCCGTGAAATTTTCAAGAAGTGTCTAAGATAACAATAAATACTTCCTTTTTTGAAATTGGGAAAGTTTGAAATGCTAAGGACTTTTTTTCGAAACATTTAAAACGACCCATAAGTAAACCAAATTTCTTCTTCGAAAGAAACGCGCTTTCGAAATCTTACGAAACGTGGAAATCTAATCAGGCAATATTATTTCAAAGCTTTCTTAGAAGAGATTTGCTAGAAACCCTGAAACCGTATCTCTTGGGAATATTCTTCTTAGTAAAGTCCTTCGAACCGTTTTCCTAAATCATTTGAAAATGTTATCAGAATGGTTCATAGTATTTTTTGAAACTGATTTCCAAAAAATGGATACCAAAATTCCTTGAAGAGATTCATTGTAGTTATTAAATACAATGCAAATGTGTTCCATGTAGTCAATTTACACAGATCGATTCCTTTAAGAATTTTTTTATTACATTTACTAAAATTTAACGCAATTTCTTAAAGACCGATCGTTATTTTTTATACAAATCAAAAAAATTACATTACTTAATTATAGCCTTTCTTAGAATCCATGGTTTCCCTATGATATAAAACGATCCGGTCCTTTCCCAAAAGGTGGTGGCACAAAGCTGGACTATATAGAAACGAAAATTTGATTTCTTAAAGAATTATTGATGACATTTTCTGGATATTACTTTACAACTCCTTGGTCGTGTGGAAATGACCGAGCAATGAACTTTCTATTTACACTGTATGCATTCAACTTGATTTTCTTTTCTTATAATATAAGGCATTATTAGCGCACCGAAAAGACCAAACGAGGTTAATATTACACTCCAAAATTGGGAACTTATTAATCGAAACGTGACTCTAAACTTTGATTTATGCGCCGGAAAAGTCCGTTCGTACTGTTAAAATTTGTTTTTTCTTCTGAATAAGGTCACTGAGCATTCACGATAATTCACTTGGTTTTTCAATTCGGTTATTTACCGCTCGTCGAATTTGGGCTGGTGGACGGCTTAGCACTAGGTAATTTTAATAACCAAATAATAATTCAGCTTTACACCGCCCCAAACCATATTACTCTTTAGTTACCCGCAATGAGCTCTTTTCGACGGTTCAAAAACAAATTCATTTTTCCGATCTCTCCGAATTTACTATCGCTCCACACCTTAGCAAAAATTGGCACCTTATTTGCCATGAACCTGAGTATACAACTATATACCAATACTACACCAAGTTGGTGATGATCAGACAAATAAAACCTCCCAAGTCTCACAGAATATGGCGCGCTAAATTCTTTTGAAAATTTAAACGCTAGCGAGAAGTCATGGAAGGCACAATTGAAAGTCTTCTAAAAATCTTAAATGAAGTTTTAAAAAAATCAGGTGAATCTAGAAATTATTGTAGATAATTTCACGAGGCTTTCTGGATGAGTTCTTAAATGCGCTCTTAGAAATTTAAATCCTAGGAGACAATTCTTTCTCGTCCTTCGAGAGAGGAGGAATTTTCTTAGAAATCATTTGTAGAATTTCCAGACGTCTCAGGAAGTTTCCAACAATATTAGCAGTACTCTTTTAGAGCTAATTCTCAGAAACTGAGTTGAAAGACAATAGAGATAGTCGTAGAAATATTCTTTGGTCCTTAAACGCCTTAGAATTCTTCTCAGAAACGATTTCAGTAACAGGTTCATTAAAATTATCCTTAAAAACCTTTCTTGGAAATTTTTTCTTTGAAATCATAGAAATTTTCACAGAAACCCTTTTTGTAAATTTCTTTTTAAAGATGGTACTTGAAGATCTGGAAATACCCGTTCCAGGGAATACCTAAGACGCGTTTTCCGTCTTTCTAGTAACTTTGATCACAAAAATTTCCTTACCAACATTCTTGGGCTCTCATAAACCTTACAAATTTATCTGGGAATGCAGGTGACATTTTCGGCCAACTCAGAAATGCTACTTGAAATCCTTTTTTTCCTAAAAAGTTTCTAGTAATTGTTGTAAATCGTCCTAGCAGTTTCACTAAATCTTCTGGTTTCTCTTCAAATGCGAATAAATCTTTCGTTTTTCGATATTCCCTCCACGGGTCTCCTCGTGGTGAGAGACGGGCAACGAAGCACAGGCAGTAGATCCGCCTAGCACTTTCCAGTGTACGGCAAAAAGGTGGAACTCTTGTGTTTGTATGCCCCAGTATAAGGTGTCCCTTCTCTACCCCAGCCCCCTCCGCTACTATCAGAGCAGCAGTTCCCGATCTTGTAAAAATTCCTTCGGGGAAATCTGTAGCGTCTGTCCACTGTCATCGTGGTACCTAAATCTCCCGACGTAACAAAGACAGCACTCATGAAAGGCCTAGACTCTAAAAGTCTGGGCTTATAATTTGACAAGATAGCCAAGATCTGTAAGAACGCCGTAAAACTTGAAACTGAGAAGAGCGATTTTTCCAAAATCACTGTAGACCTTGAGAACCTTGAGAAAGCCGGGCCGTACGCGAGCATGTCTTGGTGAGCCATCGTGTATACGTCAGGTGGAATGCCTGCCGTATACAAGACCATATGCGGATCGTGCGGTGCTTTAAGTGTCAAAAATTCGGTCATAACTCTTCCGACTGCCGTAGTGAACTTCAATTCGGCCACTACGCAGATAGTCATGACAGCAAGGCCTGCTCGAAGCTTCAACCAGAGAGGCCTAAAATATACTCTTCGCTAAAGTGTTCAATAAATTAAGTCAGCTCTAATTTAAATTTTAAAAATATAATTTAGCATTTGGTATTACCCTCAAACGAATATTGTTGAGATCGACTTACCTTAATTTTTATTTACAGAGCAAATAACGAATTAGACATTGATATGCGAATCGGAATACATTCCGGAAAAATCCTCAGCGGTCTCATTGGCTTGGCTAAGTGGCAATTCGATATATGGTCAAGAGACGTACTAATAGCGAACAAAATGGAAACTACCAGCGAGGCTGGGTAACCACACCTATACCTTCTTACGATCTTTTTGAAATATTCAATTTTTAGAAAAATTCACATAACAAGCGAAACTCGCGATCTTCTCCCCAAGCACAAGTACAAGGTTGTCAAAACCGATCGCGGATCAACCAATCCACTCTTGCAACCCTACAACGTCCAAACTTTCTTCATAACCCCAAGATCAGTCGAAAATGGCCGGCCACACGAAGCGGAGCAGAAGAAGAAACTGAGCGTTATTGGCGAGCAGGAGGCGAAGCCGAATGGTATCGTCAAAAGCGCGAGCACATCTAACCTGTGCGACTTTGACGTAAAAAACGACGCCATTTTTGAACAACGCAGAGAATCTCTCCGCAACAACCAAACGCCCATCGGTACCATCATAAACAGACGACCCAGTGGACACCCCAACGTCGGTCGACGTATCACGCCAACCGACATCAAGCGGCGTACCGCATTCATGGACAACAACATTAACAGATATAAAAAACTACTACAGAAAACCAAGGAAAACATGAAAGTCGCAATTGAGGAAATGCCGTTTACAAAGTTTGAGTAGGTTAGTACTCCAAAAGTAACGAGATTATCGAAATTTTCCAGCCACTGGGATCATATTCACCCCATAATCTTAACATTTCGAAATCTGAAGGCCGAGAAGAAATACATAAATCTACCCGATAAGCTATTTAAGTATTACATAGTTGTGTACATACTGCTAGTGTTGGTCACCATTGTAATTCAAAATTTGACGCTTGCGAAGTAAGTAGAGTGACGCGAGGTGCGATTATTAATGAAAATTTGACTTCAGTTGGGAATGGCGACTGTGGTTTTACTATGGTACTTTGTCGCTGGCGATATTTTTCTTGGTACCACTCACTTGGGCGAGCTCGCTGTTCAACAGGCGTTTGGATAGGAAATTTAAGCTGGTGAATCTGGTTTCAAAGTTTCTTTGTTCCGCCTCCGCTTTTATTACACATAATACGATGGTGCGCATCGGAATATACGTCGTAACGTGTGGTCTCTTCCTTTTTTGCGTTTTGGGCGAGCTTGTAAGTGTTTATAGCAATTGTGTCCATCCTAATGGTTACGTTTACTTTCAGAGTGAATGTGCAGATGGCCGGAAAGAATCCGTTGGGTACTTGCCTAAGGTTGCTCATTACCACGAGAAGTTACACGACTATTGCGTTATACCATGGGTAATTATATATTGTGTTTTTGAACTACGTAAAAAGACTGATGTAGTAGGTATATATGGCAAAAATAATTGCCTAGGCGCACTAGATTTGAAGTCATTCCTTTTTCGAACGCTTTACAGGCCTAAGAAAAGGTGTCTAAGATCAATCTTAGATCCAACAGGTAAGAACTTTTTGTTATGGATTTTGGCCTGTAGAACACAAAACGATCATACTTTTCAAGATTGGATCAGCACATCAAAAGTTTCCTTTTTTGGAAGTCTGTTTTTTGTCCATAACTTTTGATTCGTCAAAATAGTGTTTTTCTATGGCATAAATAAAAAACTTAGCATTGCGCAGTCTGCGCATGCGCATATCTGATGTTTAAAATATGCGACATGTTTGTCTTTACTAGAAAAATCTGATTAACATTTCAAAAAAATACCTCTATAAATGAGAAAGTTGACATTGCGCAGTTTGCGCGTGCGCATATCTGATTTTTACACTATACGATATGTTTGTATTTACTAGAAAAATCTTTGTTTAAAAATATGAAAAAATATCCCCATAAATAAGAAAGATGACATTGCGCGGTTTGCGCATGCGCACTTTAATTGTCAAGACTTTTCTTGGTTGTGGCGCCATAGCGGCAATTTACCGAATGCAAGAAGAACGAACTAAATAAACTGTAGGAGTAGTTAAGACCTCGGACGGACGGACGAACGAACGGATGAAGTGGACATAATAGCGCCTTCCAACGCAAGCACCGGCGCAACGTGCCGTACGTAACACCGTTACCAGAAACGTCGAAGCGTCACCTCGGAATAGTTAATACAACCACCAATGCAGAAAGGGAAATTCGAATGTAAAGAATTCCCCTTAATACGATGGTTTTGTCCGTCCATCTGTCTGTTACCCGTCTCTAGAGCGAAAAGAGACAGCGATTTTACGAAGGGGCGCACTTTGAATGCTTGCCCTAGGCGCCATTTAGCATACTACACCACTGCAATGATGATTTTGTAAACAAATTCTTCGATGTGTTACATTCAGTGAAGAAAAAAATACACACATCATTTAGGGACTTATGTGATATATTAGCGTATCCCTAGTAAGGTTAACCGTGATTTTTCAGATCCGGGTTTTCCGAAAAGGGCAAGGATACAATGAAAACTGGAGTTGCTACATCGAGTTTTTTTTAAAGAGAAAGTCACTGGCACAAACAAAATGTTATCTCGTTTGGCCGCTAGGGGGAGTTTCCCGAATTTAGTCGATTTCTTTAATGCTCCATAATGTTTAGCCAATTTTTTTTAAAGCACTTTTTTATGTAAAATCCATTGCGATACAGTTTTTATACAGAGTTCTTTTATACGACCCTAAACTATATTTTCTCATACGGAACCCCCCTATATATTTTGGTGTTTTTTTGAAAAGAGCGTAAAATTTCGATGTATCACTTGTATTTTTCCAACACGAGGGTTCTAGCGGGTGGCCGCTTTAGAATTAAAATTTTGTAGTTGGTTCAGCATAGGAAAATTTACAATATACCGCTTCATATCGAACCTGAACAAAGGTATGTCTGACTATAACAAGCGATAACAAGAAAGCGGACGCGAGCCTACAGGCCAAAATCTATAAGAAACAGTTTCTTCTCGGTCGTACTGAGACCAGTCGTTTGTCGAAGGATCTATGAGACAGGAGTATAGTCTGTTTTTGTTATACAAAAATTGCTTTCTTTTGGCATTGAAAATTGGTACGTAATGTGAAACAAACGAATGTGCATTCTAATGACATTTGTCATTCTTAGGAAAACTAGATGTAGAGCACAAAATAAAATGAAGTTCAGAACAGAAAACAATGTTGTTTCCATCGCAACGATGGGAGAACAAGCTTGCTATTTTTGATGTCTAAATTAAATTCAGTTTTATAATGGCTTCTGCTATAAGATAAAGTTTTGTATTATGTACCTACCACAATAAAGGGACGCTATCCTTTTATTGTCCTGCATAATACATAACTACATCAATCAAAAAGACAAAACTCTTTTCAAAAAAGTATCTGTCAGTATATAGTACGAAAATACCTTTTTTACCGGTAAACGGGTATCGTTTTCATTTCTTGACTTGTCGACTTTAAAAAGGCAAGTCAAGTAGCTTGAAAATTAAGTCAAACAGCGAATCACTGGTTTTGACGTTATTTTTCGCACGATAACTCAAAAACGGTTTGACATATACAGCCCAATTTTTGTTCACAGATAGGCCATGACTTAGGGAAGATGTAATTAAAGTCATCATCAAGATGAGTTATTGTCAATTGTGTGCAACTATAACTAATTATATTAATTGGTTAACATGCCCCTTGTATTTCACTATAATATGCACTTTTGGAAATATCGCGTAATGTTGATACAAAACCAAAAACCAAAACGTCTCATAATGAACAAGTAGATATAACAGAATACAGATACAGTATATTTGTTTGTTTCAGCACATGAGCCAGACCATATCGCTCACAATTTTCGCGGGTTTCCTATTTCTTCGCATGTACATATGGCTAAAAGTGCTTTTTGCGTTATCGGTGAGCATCTTTTACGCACTCTCCGTATGGAACATTAATCCATCATATTATGACGTAAGTTGAAGAGCCCAATACGCTATAATGAACCACCCCTTGTAGGATAGTGAAACGTTCAATTACATGATACGTCCGCAAATTGTCCACTTCATGAGTTTGCTGTTTCTGACATTCACCCTGCACTTGATCGATAGACAAAGTGATTACTTGCACCGACTGGATTTCCTATGGACCGAACAGCTAGCTGTTGAACAAATGGAGGTGAACACGATGAATAAAATTACAAAGATGTTGCTAACAAACATTCTTCCCGTTCACGTGGGTAAGCTCTAGCTCAAATTACGTAGGCAAAGGCGCATACTTCCAGAAACTTTTTCACCGACCCTCGTATTGTGGCTTTATGGTTCAGTGGTAGAGCGTTGGACTATAAATCCGGAGGTCGGGTGTTCGAACCTGGGTTGAGGTGAATTTTTCATCTATGGCAGAGATGGGAATTACCTTAGACCAGTTTCGAGCATTCTGCCGGCTACTTCGAATTAGGTTTTCCTGCAGTTTCCCTAATTCGTAAGGTAAATACCGGAGTAGTATAGAACAACTTAAAAGGCACCTCTAAAAAAACCATTATGCGGGTCACTCTGTAATTGGGCGCAAGCCTGTTGAGGACCCAGAACAAGAGAGAAATAATAAATAAAATAATAATAAATAAAATAATAAGTACATGCATTTCAGCGAAACTCTACCTGGATGTGAAACGGAACAACACCAACGTAATTTACAACGAAGAATACGACAATGTGGCTGTGATGTTTGCATCTCTTGTCAATTTACCGGTAGACAGCGTATCTGACAAATATTTTCTTCAAATAGTCAATCGTATCGTTAAGGATTTCGACAGGGAGTTATCGAACAAAGTGCGGCGCCCCATAGAGAAAATCAAAATATGCAATCTAACGTATATGGCGGCTTGCGGGCTGGAAACCTGCAGAACAGATCTGGTAATCGACGACGCCCCCCAAGAAGACGTCGTGGTTTCACTTTTAAAATTCGCAACCAACCTAATCAAGGCGCTAAAGAAAATTAACACGGAAACGTTGTCGGAGTGTCAACTGAAAATAGGTGCGTACACATCGTCCTTTAATTTACGTTAAAATTGCTTTAGGTATCTCTAACGGAAAGGTTATGGGTGGAGTGGTCGGCTCCAAGAAACCTCTGTACGACATTTGGGGCGACACGGTTAACATGGCGTCGAGAATGGATTCGACCGGTGTGCCGGGAATGATCCAGGTTACTCAGGATACGGCGAATACGCTGAGAGAAAATGGGATCGAGTGCCAATTTAGAGACCTCGTCTTTGTGAAGGGGAAGGAGCATAAAGTTCCCACTTATTTTGTCTCTCTGAATAATGATGACGATTTAATTTATTATGATAGCACTAGGTTATAGTCTATTTTTACAGTATTATTGTGAAATTTTTTATTTTATATAATGGAATCGTGTGTTAAATGCTCCAGAGTACTCGATGAACGAGCTCCCTCTTTTCGCTCTTCCTTAGACATTGAAACTCTATACTGATCTTTCAACTTCCAGTATAGCTTCTACGTTTACACACATCCTCCAACAGGCATTTTTTGTGTGACCCTGTCTGAAGAAGTGAGTTTCTCGAATTTTAGGCATGGGTAAAATTGCCTATGTGCCGCTTTATACGAATAGTGAGCGCGCGTAGATTTCGTTATTACATAACAAAAGATAGGAAATATAGGTATATATATATATATACATCTTTGCAACACTCCGTTTTAAATAACTTTCTATTACTGCTATCAGTGTAATTACGCTACAATAGGGTGTTCGGTTAAAGCGTCAAAAATTTAAATCATTATTTACTAAAGCACGACACATGAAGAATACGTATTGTTTAAAATTGTGGTCAGTGTAATTGTGCCATGAATGGAAACCCTCTCAACTTCTGTGCTCAGTATTTTGAAACGTACGCGCATTGTACACCACCCTGTATAACGTAACGCATCATAGAGATTTCAATGTAAAATTCATAACATGCGATTATTGGCTCCCCAAATTATTCTAGAGCAAAAATGTATTAAGGTTTTTTGTAGAAAAAAATTTTGCACGTCAATCAAACGTATTAGTTTTAAATTTTTTTGCACAATAAAGACGGAAAATTGGAAAAATAAAACCCGCATCTTTTTCAATAATCTGTGATGTCACGGAATTTTATAATACAAAAACTACGCCAATATCCGTCATGCCATGGAATATCTGCTATAAAACAAATCAAATTCTATCAAAAAGTATTAGCGAATTCAACATAAAGAAAGACCAAATTACTAAAAACGGTTTCCTAATATAACAATTTACAATAAATCTTCGAATAAGTCACCATTAACTGCAAGACAGTAACCAAGTCGATCATCAAATCCATTTCGAACTGCTGCTAATTGATAATTACTGGATATCTTTTTGTTTTAGAAAATTCCACGGCATCGCAGATTATTCAAAAAGATGGGGTTTTTTATTTTTCCAATTTTTCGTCTTTATTATGAAAAACATTGAAAACTAGATTGACGTAAAAAATTTTTTTCTATAAAAAAAACCTTAATTGATTTTTGCTCTAAAAAGCCAATAATCGCATGTTATGAATTTTACATTGAAATTCCTATGATGCGTTACGCAAGACACCACCCTGTATATGTACACGCGCTTTCTGAACACTTAACTTTTTGAGGTGAGTCACATTTAGTTTTAGATGCTGGTTGCGTCACAAGCCGTACTATTAACCACTATAAAAAACATAACCCCATAATAGACTATTTACATCTTAACATATAATTGTTTATTCTTTATTAAAATGGAATATATCATTGCAAACGTGGACGGCATTAAATTTGATATAGAAATAGCTTTAGACGAACAATATGGAGCGTTGCCTTTACCATTTCATGGAATGGACAGTAACTATTTTAAATTAAGTTGTTTTTATGTCGCTAACATGGTTGTTGTAGAATCTATTACTGCAGTTTGTCAATTTTATACTTCACCAACGGGTTGTCTCAAGGGCCCTCTGTGTCCATTTAGGCACGTTCGTGGTGATCGTACTATCGTATGTAAACATTGGCTTCGTGGATTATGCAAAAAAGGAGATCAATGTGAATTCTTACACGAATACGATATGACCAAAATGCCGGAGTGTTACTTTTACTCGAGGTTCAATGCGTGTCACAACAAAGAATGTCCATTTTTACACATCGATCCCGAGAGTAAAATTAAGGATTGCCCATGGTACGATCGTGGGTTCTGTAGGCACGGTCCTCATTGTCGGCACAGACACGTCAGAAGAGTGTTGTGTACAAATTATATAGCCGGATTCTGTACGGACGGACCCAGCTGCAAATACATGCATCCCCGTTTTGAGTTGCCTGTCCCACCCGATCAAAATATCAAGGACCAGAAGAAGCCGCCAGTAATAATTTGTCATTTTTGTGGCGAACACGGACATAAAGCGTTACACTGCAACAAAATCACTTCCGATAATAAGGAACTGGCTAATAAGGACAATTTCAAAGTTCCAACTGTTGCTAATGCGGAAAGTAACGAAAGTAGCGGCCCTCCAACTCTTTACCATAGAATGATACCGAAAAAATTAGAAGATGTTACTTGTTACAAATGTGGAACTAAAGGACACTACGCGAATAGATGTCCTAAAGGACATTTAGCATTCTTGTCACAAACAAAAGGTTTAGGAGAAATTGAGAAGAAGGACGATGATAATGTATAAGGAAAAACTGTACTTTTGTCATGTATTTATAACATAATAATATCTTTATAATAATAACTTTTTTTATGACCTAACAGAGACCACCAGAATAATATTTTCTGTATGTATACTTAACCACTGCATCCATGCATGGGAGTAATTTTATGTATGTACATAATTACTTCACTTCCCGTTGTTCCTTATGCTTGAGCATGCTATACTTTGTTGTATTTTACTAGCAGGATATCCCATGGGGCCACTTCTTGTAAATGTTCTTCGTGAGAATAGTAAGGTGTCCTGTTACATTCCCCGGCTTGAACCTTTTGTTACCTCCTTATTGCTTCCTTTACACTCGAGGGTGGATCCAGGTTTTTTCAATAAACAATGTGAACATTGCAATTAGCTGTATTTGTAGAATTTTATGAGGTGCAAATACAAATACGGGGGGAAACCGCCCTGCTTTACACTAGGTAGAAAAATCAAGTCTATTGATGTGATGATTGTTTAGGCTCAAATTTCTTCCCAGTAACCATCTACAGGAATGGGTGATATTTTTACCAGCTTCTCTAAGTGGAAGTTCAGTAGGTATTGGGTCGCTTGTGCGTGGGAAAATTCTGGGGACCGTGGGAAATTACCTATTTTGGCAGTTGGCGCGGGTCAAATTTCGGCAATTGGCCTGGGGGCAAATTTTGGCAATTGGTCCGGGGTGCAAGGTCAAATTTTGGCATTTTGACCGTTCGGTAACCTTTAGACTATACACAAATGGACTTTGACCGGTCAGCAACCTTTGGACTTTGAACAGCGGGTGGATTTTGATCGATAGCTTGACCTACCTTGATCTGACCTTGAAATGTGCGCATGCGTCATTTTAACGCACAACACAACCAAGTCCTGTCAGTCTTCTTCGAGATCGTGTCGGTGTACCTACACGCGAAGTCATATGTGTCTTGTGTAAGAGGCTATGAACCTGGACGGATTATCGCATAGATGACTGGGGACAAATTAAGATAAGTAAAATCTAGAATAAAATTAAACTTCCCGGGCCAATTGACAAAATAATCCCCCAGGGGGGCAACCTCCGAAATACCCCAGGGTCACACCCCTGGCCAACTCCCGAAATGCTCAAATTGCCAAAATTTCACCTTGCACCCCAAGCGAATTGCCAAAATTTGACCTTGCACCCCGGACCAATTACCAAAATTTACAGAAACAGGTCAGTTAAACGGAAACAGGTTTAGTCAATAAAATCAGATCTGTTAAACAGAAACAGGTCCGTTCAGTAGAGATAGGTCCGCGTTGAACAGAACGAGGTTCCTTTAACCGACCTGTTCCTGAGACAGACTCAACCGCCCCATTTCTGATAAACAGACCTGTTTCCATTGACAAACATATTTCGCGCTCATCCTACGTGGCACCCTAATACCCCGAGCCCCCGGCCAAATCTCAACAAGGTTCCCGAGACCTCACGCAAGTCTGTCGCCTCATGTGACTGTCTGTCATCAGGTGGCCCCTATACTACTATAGTTCCACGTTAATTTGTTTAGACGTTTGGAAGGGGCTAATAAATTAACAATAGGACGTGACAGTCAGCACTTAAAAAATAAAATATGATAGAAGAAAGGAGTAGTAGCAATCCTAGAAGGAGTAAAGAATAAATGAGCAGAGCTGGGGAAAACACTAGAAAGAAAATCAAGATAAAAAATTTGCTGCGGCAAGCAGATACCACCGACACGCCTGCGCGATTCTGCCATTCTGTATCTAAGAATTATGAAATTTGGTTCAGCCGTTTGGCCGGAAATGAGAGTACAGACGGACCGACATCATCAGATTTTGTTTGATTCAGATTTCTGGTGCTTCAAAACTGTAATTCCGTAAAAAGTGAGGGGGTCATTTTTTACTCCAATGCAATATACCTTTCTAACATGCGGGCGGTAAAGAGGGTAACAAAGAGAGAGATAGGGATGGGCAATAGGTACACACATGGGAGGAAGAATAAGGAGGTCGGTACCTAATTGATTACACAATAATAAATACTGGAAGTAATAGAATCTCAACATGCTTTTGCCCAGTTACAGAGTGACCCGCATAATACTTTTTAGAGATGCCTCTGCAGAGGGTCTTAGGACTGCTACAGCCTGCGTTTTTAGCGCATTTCCACAAAAATATAAAAAAAATGCGCTATTGTGGCCACTTTGTCCGTCCGCCGTTCGCTCGTTTTGCGACGCTACTAGTTCTTTATCTTAAGAGCTATCGTTCTACTTTTTTCGTTATGGTGTCGAAGTTTGCACCAAGGAAGGAATTTTTTCTGTACCGCTTACAAAAAAAGTTATTGTAAAAAAAACAAAAAAACCGTTTCTTACATGTTCCACAATTTTACACTTTTGCCGTTTATTAACGATCCTAGAGATCGTTTATAATGTTGTATTGCTGTCTGTTCCTTTGTCTGTCTGTCCCTGTATCTGTCCGTGTGAACGATAACTTTGTTTAGAAATGTCCGATCGCCTTTACATCTCCGTTAGTTATTAACTGAATTGCATGAAATGAAATATGGGCATAGCTTTAGCCATATAATACGCAATGCCAAAAGTTGAGTCGAATCGATTCAAAATTCACAGTGCCCTTTTCGCATCTCGACCATTTATAAACCGAATTGCAAACTTTTTTACGCGTTTCAAAATTTGGTTTTGCGCATACGCAGTGCCAACTTTTTTATTTATGGAAGAATTTAAACGAAATTTGATACATAGGCACTTGGGATAAAGGAAAATCAAACGCCAATTTCAAAATTTGGTTTTGCGCATGCGCAGTGCCAACTTTTTTATTTATGGAAGAATTTAAACGAAATTTGATACATAGGCACTTGGAATAAAGGAAAATCAAACGCCAATTTCAAAATTTGGTTTTGCACATGCGCAGTGCCAACTTTTTGATCTATGGAAGCATTGAAGTAAATTTGATACTTTGGTGCTTGGAACAAAGGAAAATCTAACATTAAGTTTCAAAATTTAGGTTTGCGCATGCGCAGTTCCAACTTCCTTGTTTAGAAAAGCATTGAAATGAAATTCTTCTTATAAACTGAAATTGAAATAGCATGTCAAAAATGGATTGCTCATGTGCAACGCTATCTTTCATATTTGTGGCCGGATTTTTACGATTTTAACAGAAGTTGCATTTTACAAATGGGAAATGAATGCAAGTGGAAATGCGCTTTATGTAAATCGTTTACGATTACTTTTTTACTTGTTGTACTTCTATGCATTCAAAAATTAACATACAAAAACGTATTGGCCGTTTATGTGGCGCGTTTGAGGTAACGCAGCGCTAACTCTGCCTACCATTATAAGGTTCTTTATCTAATGATTTCATTCCTTTGTCGATATAATCCATTGTGGCCTTATTGCATGGTCCTTCCCTCTCTCGTTGAGGCGAACACACGGCAATTAATGAAGCTAATAAGTTCTCATCTTTGGGTTGGTTACCTAATAAAACCTCCCACATACCATATATGTATCGTTAATGAGTGTTGTATTAAGGATAATCCGTAAACTTGCAAGGAGTGTTGAGATGTAGTCCAATCTGGCAATGAATCACTTGATTTCCCGGTAAAGTGAAACCTTTGTAAATGTATTTTTCACCTCGGAAACTTAGGCCATCAGGTTTTTACGAGGGTTTTTAGGGTCTTACCTGCTAACTCGCTTCATTGTAGGGAAAATTTACAGAATATCTTTTACAATTTATTAATGCTTTAGAGTATTGATTAAGATGTATTAAATTTAATTGTAAAACAGTTTAAAAAAAATCAAAAAAGGAAATTATTACATTTTTTTTGCCAGTTCTTCTTGTAATTAGAGCAGGCGTGAACCGGCCTACGATTACTTGCAATACATATCTTATCCTATCAATGCTCTGGTCGGTAGATCCGAAATGGTGAGCTCCCTCTTTAACTCCAGCTAAATTGTAGTGTTCACTACTTTTTTTTAAAGAGAAGTACAATCTAAAAAAACAGTGAATACTACTTTTTGCTTGGTTCACATTTAGGTCCAGTGTCCATGTGCTCTCTTTCAGGTAGAGCTATGCATCTCACAACGTGGCTCTAATCTTGCTAAAGCATGAGAATTAACCTTTGGTTTAAGCCTTATCAGTTAAAGTGTATGAATAAAATTAGTTTAACTATATAATAAGTCAATTTTTATTGAATGCATCTTAAATAAAAAAAAAATTGATGGAAAATACATTAACGACAATGTTAAAATTAAACAATTTATACTCACATACGCTTTGTCAGTTGAAAAAATTTTAACGTGATATGATGCAGGCACTCACAAAAAAGACTGACAATGTGACGGGAGAATAGAGGTACAGTCATAGTCACATCTCGATACTAAAGTATTACTCGTCAAAAAATATAAATTTTAATTATTAATTGGGTTTGGATCTCTTCTTTGCGATTGCGTCTTCCACAGCTTTGAGCTGTTTCAGTAACTCTTCTCGTCGAGAACTAGCCTTTTTGTTATTAGCATTCTTTGGATCGCGATCGGCAGGCTGTGGCGAGATCGTCACTCTCTTTTTACCCTGCGGCGCTTCCGGTTTTCGAGGTAATTCCGTTAATTCCGCCTTCTTATTTCCTGGCGTGCCTTTGAGGTTCAATTTTATTTGACGCTTTTCCGTTCCACTTTTTAAAGCGTCGATCGCTTTTGCTTTTAAAGCTATGGCTAAATCTACACCTTAAAAAATGAGGGACCATTAGGACATTTTCGTGTAAGAGGTAATTACCTGTCGGTCGCCTCGGCGGACTAGCATTTTTACTACTAGAACTGCTCGACGCTGACGATTCTGAATCGCTGGAACTCGAGCCCGAACTTGAACCCGATGATGAACGTGAGGAATGTCCCTTAACCCTCGCCAAAGCGGCGACTAATTTTGTACGTGATCGACCAAACTGATCGAACTTGGAGGGGGCAGGAGGATTTTGTGCACCAACTCTCATCATACCTTAAATTGTAATAAGGCATAGTAAGTAAAAATAGTGTAATTAACCCTGATTCAAATTTGAGCTTTGTTCAACACAGCAAAATTTACACATATACCGCTTCATAGCGAACGTGAACAAAAGTATGTCTCGAATACCAATCACGGTAACCCTTCAGTCAACCAAATGTTGCAACAAAAACCGAAGAAGTTGGATAGTCAAAACCATCCCTCCTGTCAGCTAGCCTGGGAAGAACTAAACAGGGATACGTGAGAAAATGGGGAGAGATTTTTCAAACAATATTGGTCCAGTGATGTCCAGAGTAAAATTAGACTGCGATTGGGAACGCCACGTTTATATTTGATTACTTGTTCTTTTTTGGGTTTTTAGTTTAGGGTTTTTTAGCTTAGGTTTGGGATTTTTCGATTAGTTTAGGTCAATTAACCTACGAAAAAGCTCCCGTTTAATTTGTTTTTCAAATTGCACCAGATTTTCTTCGTTTTCAAAAATACGAGGGGGTACTGTAATGGGTCTCTTTAGAATTTTACGTTTTATTTTCAAATTTGAATTTTGTTCATGTCAACATAGGAAAATTTACACGTATACCGCTTCATAGTAATCATGAACAAAACTATGCCTCGAATAAAAGCGATAACAAAGTGTGCATTTTCGAGATAAAAAGCTAGTGAAACAGAGTTGTAAGTGGTTACCTGGTGATGGAGCTCTTTTCCGAGGTGCAGGTGGATTCATAAGAGCTGCTCTCTCGTTTGCCGCTTTACGCTCGGAAACAATTACAGATGGTGAAACCTGCCTTCGATGTGTACGAGAACTACTGCGTTTACGCCGCGTTCGAGACTTGTACGAACTTTTACTTGAACCGGACGAGCTACGGGACGAACTAAATCAAAATACATTTCAAAAAAAAAAACCAAAAGATTCTGTTGTTTTATGATTTACCTGCTGGAGGAATAACTCGAACCAGAACTGTACGACTGCCTTCTTCCGCTTTTCCGGCCTGCGGGTGATTTTGAACGCATCCAAGGATCCGACCATTCGTCACCTCGACCACTTACACGCTCCTCTGCCCGTTGTACGATAACCTCCCGTTTTGGCCTTTTCACCTAGATTAATATTGAATAAGAGACCTTTATTACTTTTATTTTGAAAATATTTGAACACACTATCAACATGTCAACTACAAAAGTAGCACATGGAGTCTTCCTCAATAAGGCAGTTCAAATATTTACAGAATAAGAAGTGTTCCACAATAGCAAATTGTAAATAATGCGCATTTAAAAAGTTTTCTCCAACACACCTTGGGATGAACACTTTGGGGATCCTCTTCATGCTTACTGTAATACTCTGGTTGACGGTATGCCGGAACCTCACGATACGTGCGAACTCGTTCGCGTGAATATTGCACATAATCTGGTTCATACACTACTTGTCTACGTCCATAATATTCGTCATGAGGAGCTCTCGAAGAATACTCAGCTGGCCTCATAGTGACGTAACGACTGAAATTAGAAATGAGCAATTTGCGTAAAATCAGAAATGGCCTTGCCTCGGTTCCGGCGACGGAGCTTTAGCGTAATATCCATTTTCTTTATCAAATTCCTCTTGCGCCAAACTTAAATTCATTTTCTTCTCCTCAAAGTCAATATCTTGCTCTTTTCGTTTAATCGATTTTCTCATCATTTCTTTCGCTGTCCTTAGACCACGTTCCCAGGCCGATTCAATTTGAGGGGGATCCGACCGTCCGCTATATACCATGCGTTCTCCACCATAATCGCCAGGAACCACCGGTCTCACCAAGTCGAACATGGTATAATTGCCTAAAAGAGGAAAAATTCAAAATGACACGCCCTCCTTTGATACATTAGTCTGGTCAATCTATCGTTTCCCCATGGAAACCTTCAAATTAAATTTCTGTCGTTGAAAAAATAACTCAGTTAAAGTATCTGCTTATTAACATATCACATGCATCAGATTGTGGGTCTTTATATTGTTATACGCCATGCGACGTTTTTTTGGTTTCAGCACCTAACGATGGGTCACCCTGTATGTGAATTTCATTCATTGTAAACGTTAATGTAGGTTAAAATTTGGGATTAAGCACAATCTCGATCATATTTGATGTTTGATTTTGTTTAAATAATTGATTTGTTTATTGTAAATTTAAATTATACGTGTTAAATTTTTTCAGTTACGAATTATTTACGCAGTATTTGTAAAAGTTTCTCTCATGTTTTTCTCCAGTCTTTGTGACAAGAGTCTTTATCGCTGCGTTATGTAATTAGTTTCAAGATAAGCATGTGCAACGGAAATCGTTTTAAATAGAAGAATGCTATTTGTAAGGGAGGAAATTTTTTTGATATACTGATACTGATACTCAACCAACAATGATACAATAACCAAACATTATGAGTTGTTTCTTTTCACGTACCTTTGTCAGTAACACCGGGATGTAAAAATCTGCAACTCGCACCCCAAGTACATTGTCCTCGTGAAAAGAATCGACATACAGGTCTCGGTTCGGTTTCTTCCGGCCGAGCGTCTTCTTCATCGGTTAATTCGCCCTCCTCCAGCTCATCTTTCTTTTCAATCTTACCCTCATCGTCCAATTCGCCCAACTCTTGTTCAGAATTTTTGTCCCTGTCGTCTTTTTCCTTTAAATTATCATTTTCGGCGCACTCGCCGTCTTCCGCCTCAAAATCTAACTGCTCTTCGACGTCTTCTCGTTGAGTGCTTCGTTCAATTATCTAAATTTCAACTAATATCAGATATATAATACTAATGACAGGATCATTTGGATCTTGTTGTGTAGAGTAACAAATGCCAACATGCATTTGCTACTTCCAAGTACCTAGGACAGTGTTTATCTTTCCATCGTCAATAAGTCATTTTGAAAATAATTCGCCATTGATGGGCGTGAGAAACAGCTTGGTAATCAGCTATGAAAAATTAAATAGATGAAGTCTCTCAGCAATCGAAAAGAGATTGCAAGATTTCAATTAAAAAAATTTGAATTAGTTGTCTTGTTTTCGAACTAACGTTTCGAATCATAAGGGGCAGGGAGAAAATAAGGTGTTGTGTAAAATTTTATGTTCAGTTATTAACTGGAAAAGTTGCGTTTTCATATATACAAAGAATAAACCGAAGAGGAAATTTAAAATTCTTTAAGTGCAGAGTTGCAACGCTAAATAAGACTTCCTTTGGATACAGAAGTAAATGTGCTGACCGACAGAGGTCGCCGTTACGGGTCAAAGAAAAACATTAACATTAAAAAAAACTAATGAGACTGCGAGAGACGTAAATTAAATCGTATTAAGTGGCGAAATTGTAACTACAAAATTCAGCCTATTGGAATATAAAAAAATGTTCACTTCAAGTAATTACACATTACCAAAAGAATTTAATATCTACGGATTTCCAAGTGCATTTTCCTGAAAGAAAACATCTGATAACATGCTCCATGGCCTACCAGAATAGAAACATTAAAATGTTTTGATTTTATTTGCTTCTCGAACCTCAAAATTTGAGTATTTTCGCTACTTCGGAACTCTCTTGCACAATTAATTTGAGATACATAAAATGGTCACCAATCAGGGACGAAAATCCTAAGCGAATTCCAACAAACAACCTCACCTTCTTTCTTTTTTCCTGAGAGTCCGAAACGGCGTCGTCGCTGTCCTTCTGAGTGCCGTCATCGGAGTGATCGACTGAATCTTCCAAATCGGAGACATCTGACAAATCTTCGTGTGTAATATTTATATTTGCGGACGCTGTCCTTTTATTCTCCTCGGTTTGGGATTCTTTTACCCGACCTTCTCGTTCAGATACATCGCCTACATTGCGGAAACAAAATAGAAACGCCCCTTTATAAGAAGCAGAATTGGACTGGGCCCCTTAGTCTGAAACCCAATTTAATTCAGTATCTCAGTTTCTGAGGATATGTCTTTAAAGAGGTAGAGTTTTACAAAAAGCTTAACTACAATCTACGCTTGCAGTAGGGCTGTCAGATTCTTAAAAGCAAAAAGTAGGGCACGTTAAAAAAGAAGGGGGGGGGATTATTTTACTTTGTTTATTAAACCGATACTGAAATAAGAAACACAACCATTTTTACCGAGTGAAATAGATTTTTTAGCAATCTTAATATGTAAACAAACACATCGCAAATGGGTTGCCCAAAAAAATTAAGTCAAGATCACTCTTAGTAGCTTTTACAGTACGTCGTTCTCTTTCACACGGAACAGTATACATGTTTCTTTCTCGCACGCTCTTTAAAATTGCGACAACTGTACTATTCCGTGTGAAAGAGGGCGCAGCGTAACAGCTGCTCGCGGGAAAGCATCGATGTAAGAGAGTGCGCATGTACTCTCTACACGTGATAGAAGCAGACAGAATTATTAATGATATTCATTTTTACTAGATTGCGTATTTAAATGTAGGCACATCTGGTCGTTTGCGATAAGAGGTTTTCAGATTTGGTCTACGCATGTCTTTAGTGGTGGTGCCAAGTACTTCAGGGTATTCTAATGAAGGGTCTCATCGAAATAAATTGGTTTGTACAAACTATAACTTTCCCGCGCGACTCTTTTTCGAGATCTGGGGGCGACGGTGCGGGCGAGGAGTTAGAAATTAATTGTATCTTTCATGGTATTCCGTGGGGGAGGAGGCTATTTTATTGTACTGGTCTACTAATCGCCTTAGTAGTAATTTTATTCATATTTTTTGTTGATCTATCTACTAACTTAAATAATAGACACCGAGTCAAACTGAATCAAATTGGGTCACCGAGTCAAGATCAGTCCAACTCTGCAAATCAAGACCTACCATCAGACGCATCCTCCTGTTGTGCGCTGGGCTTTTTTGTTTTGCTGCTATTGGAACCCTCACTGGACGTACTGGAATCAGAGGTGTGACCGTCATCGAGATTGGCCAACTTGTGAGCGTCACGCGATCGTCTCGACGCTACACTTTCGTCGGACGAGTTACTGTCTTTGTCTTGTGATACCTTTGACTTACGAGAATTTTGACTGCTGTCCGATTTACCCGACTGACTATCTTCATTGTTGCCGTTAGGCCTCGGCGATCGATGATTGTTAGCTAGATGTGGTTGAGGCGAGTTAGATCGCGACGAGTTCGCCGACGATGTTTGATTACGTTCGGGAGACGGCGTTTGTACACGGTTCGGTGATCGTGGAGACTGTACATTACTTTCCGGAGATTTGGGAGTTTGCGGTTTCCTTTCGTTATCTTCTTCGTTGTCGACAGAACTGGGTGACTGAGGGTTACTGCGTTCATTGTCAGAGGACTTTAAAGATTGCGCCTCCGAGCTACGGCTTCTCGAGCGAGAGCTCTGTGACGACTTGGTCGACGGCGAACGTTTCTTGGTAAATTGCTTATCACGGGAGTTAGTGGAGTAAGTTTCTATTTCACTATCGTTACCGGATGAAGTGTCTTGGGATTCGTCACTGTCCATTGATAGTGTATATGCTGTCGATTTAATAAAGGCAGATGTTAGTTCATTTTATGTGCATCAACTGAGAGCTAAGCTGATGGGTTCCCAGGGCGACTTCGTGACTAGGCAACTATAATGTGCACTTTCCTTTGATGGTTCTTGTTAGTAGAACAGGTCCTTAGGTGACATGATATCAATGGGGTGTTTGCAAAAAGACTGATATTAAAATTTTGGCAAAAGCAAGATTACTCAATTTTTCGAGTGTACACATGTCTTAAATACACTCTAATATTACCAGTACCTACCTGAAGGTGTTTCTTCTATTAAATATGATCATATAATATTAGCTTGTACATATCAAAAATTGTATGTTATTAAAAAAATAAACTAATTTAATAATAGTTTAATCGAAGCATAAGAGCAACAATACAAAAATAAAATTAAAAATTTCTAAAACAAAACATAAATTCTATTGGAATAAATACAAAATCAGCTCAATTGCACTGATTTATTGGCATTGTTTCCTAAAATATGTATATAATTTCCACTATTGTTACGATTGGTTCATTCAAAAGTAATAGCACATACCACCCCACACCTGCGCATGCGCGAATCTTATCAAAGCTTTTCAGCTCTTCTTTTTATGGCTGGAAATGAGAGTACAGCTACAGACAGACGGACAATCAATTGTTTGATTCAGATTCCTGGTGCGCGGGCGGTAAAAAAGACTAAAGTTACTTTACATTTTCTTCTCACTGAACAGTTACATACCAGTGGACTATGTTCATGTGTCTTTTACAAGGTCTGTTATTATTTTATGTAATTGGCCATTAAAATAAAATGATTTCACATGCTTCTGACTCGCATACTCCCATTATCCAGTGAGCGAAGGTTCGAAAACGAATTGTCATTGTACATTGATGATGAGGTAATTTGCCTTTTTGCCAAAACTACCAACGAGTTGGTCCTATTTAAAGGTGATACACTACGCAATCTGTAATGTGCAATAAGCCGAATACCTGGGAAACCACAGCCAGTCTTTTGTTTTTTAATGAAAAAAACTGGAGCAAATGGAGGTCAAATATAATTTGAAAATGTTGTGGTCCGTGCTGGTTTAATCTTACCTGTATATTGTAGGGCCCTGTCGTTGAGTAAGTACCATACAAACACTTGGCATAAATATTGCTCATCTTCTTACTATACATTTTTTCCAAACTTTATCAATTTATACTCGAATTAACACAACACAAACTACTGAAGTCTTTTCGCGAAATGAACTTGTATACATTGATTACTACTTATTTTATACATTTTAAACTTTAACTACTAAACTGTATGGGTGTACTTTTTGTAGCGCACAGGTGAACGCTTTTCATGGAAGAAAATATTTAAAATCACTTCCATTTTCACGGACTTGTGATCTTACCTTGTTTTGTCGTCCAAGTGGCACTAAAAATTGATTGATTTTCACACAATATAAGTGCAAAATTGAAGAATTAAATGCCACTATTAACTATCATAAAATGGACACAAATAAGACAAATTTGACATGGCCACAATAGTTCGCTTGTCTTGGGAAAGATGTCGCTTTACTTTGATTCTGATTGTCACATTCAACCATTCATTTGACTTTTATAATATAATTGTATACAGGGTGTAACGTATAATGATGGGTCCACATCACGGCTTCCTAATTACCAGACTTTACTGTAAGAGCTGGCAACACCGCATCAATACAAAACAGTACTGTTGTAAATTTATTGTAAGCAATTGTAATTAACAGGTGTGATAAAATTAATAAGATTCTTTACAATAATATTGAAATAAAAAATCCTTTTTTTCTTTTACACTAATTTTACTTTATTCTTATTTTATTAGGTACATGTATGTTCTGTTACTTAATTTTTTGTTTTGAATTACCCAAAGAGTCTGTAAACATATAATTGTATGATCTGTTACGCTTGATGAAACTCTGCACCACTTTTCAAAATTTAAAAAATAAACACACACAATTAGTTTCCACACTCATTTTACATTTTGGATGACTACTTTGCAGATTACTGGCACCATTAAGAAATTCTGTGTAACTGTTTTGCAGCCTGTTTTTCTTTGAATTTTTTTACAATCTTCTGCCTCCTTTCTAAGAGATCGGTTCCAGTTGAACTTGTGCTAGCTTGTTTAGATACTTCGGAAGATTTGGGAAAATCCGTGGAATTGCGTTTGGTTTCAAGATACTTCTGTTTTTTATTGTAAAAGTCTGTGTATTACCAAACTTGTCCACATAACCATTTTCTTTCATGTCGCTAGCATAATTGCTATTGCAGCTGGGTACACAATATTTAGGAGGCATCTAAAATTAATTTTAAAACCATTAGACATAAATTTACACTACTAAAATGACATAGTACACATTGTAGCTTTATTTTTGAAGAAAAAGTGTTTTTACAACAACAGCGTTTAATTTGTAGGCTAGATCATTTGCAATAAGTCCCCCACAAAACCACTTTAAAAATTAGCAACAATAATTATTTGAATAACACAGAGAATCGCGATAAACTTGTAATAACACAATTTTCAGTTTCGATACAATAAAACATGATAACATACCATAAACACGGGTCTAATAACTGACACTGACATAAAATCATATAGGCCAACGAAATAGTGTTGTCAAATTTCATACAATTTAGCCTGGTTCATACCTACTTTAAACGTTGAATTTGATTTCCAAGGTCATGAGTCATGACATGAGCCACCCTTTTTACAGCTAGCTTGTTGTGTTATCTTCATGTAACCCATACAAGTCTTTGCCTTGCAACTTGCTCTTAACGTTTTTTTGCAATCATGGATTGGGTAGGTATGTGGGTAATTGAACTTCATTGTGCTTTAGTATCAACTAATGTAACACATTATCTTCTACTATTCACTATTATACTCATTCGAGATTATTGACTATAAAAATGTGATGGAACGAGCTTTGAGTGCTAAGTTTGATTTAAATGATGTTAGTGTTATTGTTTTTAAAAATGACGCGAATTCAAATCTGCATCGTTGAGTTCTTTATTTAGTTATCCACTTATCCTTTTTGTGTGAAATGCATTTTCAGACAAGGCAGACAGTTTAATATTAATTTGTTGGCTGGTTCTTTTTCTTGGTCATTTCCTTTTTTCCAATCTATTTTTAGTCGGTGAAAACTACCATTTTCAAAATTTATTCTTGCAATGCGTAATTTATTTCCCCTTTTAAAGATATTCACAATTAAGTTTTCACATCGGCAGTAGATGTGTCTCGTTTAGATGATCTCTCGCCGCCCTTTAAGAGTACTTTCCTTCTACACTACGTTCTGCAGATATTCGCACCCAAAGTTTTGACATCACGGGAATGTTTAAATTAAGGAAAAAAAGGTAAATTTATGTGACGTAACAAATAAATTGCATAAATAAACTTAAATCTCATTGCATTAACCCACCACAAGATCTATTGTCTATACATACAAATATGAACCTATAACTATGCATATACCATAGTTGCAAAACGAGTGGCAAAACATTGCACGTTCTGCATTGTATTGTCTTCTCATTTAAAAAAAACGATTGATTTTTTAACGTTTATTAATGCATAAAGGTATTTAAGGTAAGACATTACTAAACATAGTTTTTCTGTGCACAGATTTGGACTGTCAGTGAGCCCTAAAATGGCAGACGATTCTGCTACCTTAATCATGAGGCGCTTTCTTTCGAACTATGATAAATGAAACACATAGTCCATGACTACTTAGACTAAAAACTCGTGAAAACAGAATCTTTATAATTAATTTTTTCGCGTACAAGAAGAGGTAGAATAATCGTTTCACATGATTTAGAAGCAGAATTGATATCTATAACTTTTATTTGAAGTATTTTTGCGTAAAATAATTAGGAAACGTTTGCGCAAAGAAAATGTAATTTCCCATGTTAAACGCCAATGTTCCACTTTTCGATTTACACCCTGTACATTAACCGTAGACGTCAACCAATGGCGTGAATTGAATGCGCCCAATACAAACAAATTTTTAAGGTTAAGTTCACTTGGTTGGCAATCCTGCGTTCACGTTGTTTGTGGCTGACCAAAGATGAGAATTAAAAATGATCGTTCTCAATCTTTTAAATTATAATTACACGTTAAGGATGTTAATTTAATTACTACGCAACTATAAAGAATCCGCACGAAGAAATACATTATAAATTGCGAGCATGTTGTCGGATGTTCGTCCCTTTATGACTTTTATGGTATGTACCGTTTGCATAACCCGGCTTTTTTAGCAGTGCTGTAAAAGTTGCTAACTTTTTGGCTGTAATTTAAAAAGTTAATCGCTTATGTGTGGGTGGTTTTGATAACTTTACCTTTTTTAGGATGTGGAACACTCTCGATCATATATAGACGACTTGTACTCATCAGACCCAGATAAATGCCTTACTTCCCTCATATGTATCAAAAATTCTGTCATCGGCTCCAATCGTCAAAAGGAAAGTGTTATAGCTCAAGGCATTGTACCACGACTGATACAGCTATTAAAGGACAGGAATAGGAAAGCCGCAATTCGATTAGAATCTGTAGTTACAATAGGATCGTTAGCGAAAGGAACCGGGGAACATGTAGAGCTGCTAATTAACTGTGGAACAGTTCCACTTTTACTGGATCTTTTGGAAGAAAATGATCCTTTATTGATAGACGCGTGTTTATGTTGTCTACGAACACTTTCTCAACAAGATACCGGCCGATTTCAAACAGTCTACTCACACAGACATCTACAGAAATTGTTAAGTTTTGCAGAACCGGAAGAAAATATTTTACGACAATCGTGCGTCGCTAGTATATTGAGTTCGTTATGCAAGGGGGCATCGGAACAAAACGCTTTACGTTTAGCCGGTGCGGCACAAGTGCTCACAAATATGCTGAGCATTTGTCATACGGCTGTGCGTGTCCCTACGTTAACATGTTTAGCCGCTATGGCGTTCGAAAATCGAGCGGTCGCGGAGGAGATTACAAACACATCATATAAGGACACGAAAGTGATTACTATTTTGGCACGTTTACTCTCTAGGGATAAACCTATTGACATGCAACTGGAAGCTGCTAGATGTTTAACAAATTTACATCGAGCAGGTGCAATAATGGCGTACGATGCTGTGATAACTTTTAGAACGTTACCTTGCTTGGTTCGGTTGTGTCAGGCGAGTTGGAAATATGAATTGCTTAGTCACCGAATTATTTATTGTAGATTGAGCATTCGACTCCTCACAGAGCAGCCGCAGCAAATACATTAGCGTACCTTACCGAAGTCGACAGTGAGCTGCAGCAGACCACCGCCATTAGTAATCAGTTAATTGGAGCGTTAGCGGATTCGCTGTTGAATTCGAACAACGTGTTGGCCAGACAGGCGGCATTCAGGTAGTGCGACTTTTCCAATTTCCATTTGTCATTTTAAAGCACTCCAGGGATCTTTTGTTTAATTTCGAACGTGAGAGTGCTCCAGATTTACGAATGGAAAGTATTGCACGTTTTTACTCTCCTTGAAGCTCCCGGGAGCACTCTAAAATGACAAATTGATTCGTGGTATTCACTATGTTATTGAATTTTTTTAGTGCGTATGCTTCTTTGGCCGCCAATGACGAGGACATACGTAAAAGACTTATTGAAACGAACAGGCTTTTGATCGGTTGGGATGGAGAATCTGGTCAACACAGGCATGTTAGGTTAGCCGACATTTTGTTTATGTATTTGATTCTGTTGAAGCGATTCAGTTTGTCATTTTAGAGCAATTCAAAATTACCCCCAAAAGGTTTTTAGGGTATGGTTTAATGTGCCAACCGACTATTTCATATACATTATTATATGTAATACCTACCTATAGGTGTCTTTGGTACCTGCACTGTTGCAGAATGCTCTATGGAACCATTGCTTACAAATCTGCCGGTAACTTAGCACCCCAAAAAATTCTAGAAAATTTGAGAAAAGTTCTAAAAAAACTCTAGAACACCCTAGAAAATAAAAAAATCGTAGAAAAGTATAAAAAATACTAAAAAATCCCAGAAAATTATCCAAAATAGTAGTCTAGTACACCAAAATTCTACAGTCATTTTCTTCTCGGGGTAAAACCACTCTAATTTTGTGTAAACTAAAATTCTAAACAACATTTTAAAATAGTCTAGAAAAGGTTTAGCAAATAAAAAAATTCTAGAAAATTCTCAAAAATTTTAAACAAAATCCACAGTGTACACTGATTGTAAACAAAATTCTAAAAAATTCTGGAAAATTCTAAAAATTGTATAAAACAATAATTGTGTGTGCATGTGCGTTTGGAATAAATTCTAAAAAATTATAGAAAATTCTAAACAATTCTAGACAAATTGTAAGAAAATTCCAGAAAATTTTCCAAAATGCTAGTAGTGTATACCAAAATTCTACAGTGATTTTGTTCTCGGGGTAAAAGCACTTCTAATTTTGTGCACACTACCATTCTAAAAAAATTTTGAAAATTCAGGAAAAGTTCTAAAACAACTAGAACACTCTAGAAAATAAAAAAATTCCAGAAAATCAAAAAAAATTCTAGAAAAATTTCAGAAAATTAAAAAAAATTCTAGAAAAATTTCAGAAAATTAAAAAAAATTCTAGTAGTGTACACCAAAATTATACAGTGATTTTCTCCTTGGGGTAAAACTACTTCAAATTTTGTGTACCCTAAAATTCTAAATAAGATTCAATAATTCAAAAAAATTGTACAACACATGGGTGCATGTGCGCTCAGAACAAAATTCTAAAAAAGTTAAAAAAATGCTGTATGGTATGGAAACTGGAATGTGCAAGGTCGAACCTGGCGTAGTTCAAGGTCGGTCGACACATGGCGTTTATCTTGGAAAGCAAGTTATAGTAAACTTCAAACGCCACGTGACGATGACTGTGGAAAGTACCTCAGGTGATGCTCAAGGTCATTCGCTTTCAAGGTCTTCAGCCCATTTTTTGTGTTATCATATAAATTTCACTGTCAAGGTTACCAAAGGTCAACGACCCCATTTTTTTGCGGTGCCACATAGGTCAAGTAGAAGTTCAAAGGTCGTTCGGTACTTGGCGGTGATCTCTTAAAGTAGGTCAAGGTGAAACACAGAGGTCCGTTCCGTCATTCACCCTTAATCATTTCCCCCTCTAGTGGTGATTTCCGAAAATGAGTTGTTTGATCAGTCATGGACCTAGGGGCAACCTCTTCCCTTTCTCCAAGAATGTCAAAGTGAGAAGTAAATCAAGACCTTGTTTGGTCGTCCGCCCCGAAAAAAGGTGCTATAGTTATCACTCAAATAATGACCTTGGACCTTAATTTTTACTCGGAGTTTATATCTCCCGCACTCAAGAGAGAAATCAGGGTTGGCGCGAATTAAGGTCAGTGATTTAATTCGCGAATTAATTCAAACTTTCCAATGAGAACAATTTGCATTATTTACCCCGAATTCAAATATCCGATGCCATTATGGCAACCGAAATCATCTGACAATCGTGCAGCGTCTCCCTCAATCAACTGCTTAATGCCCGTGCGTTCTAAATAAATAATTTTTAATTTTTAAGCGAATTAAAAAAGAAAGTCCGACTTTGTTGACTTTTATAAAATCACGACTTATTCTAATTAAATTCCATGTATAATTCGATAAGGCTAAATCTTTCTGATGAGGAAGTTCAAAGGTTGGTCGCCGTTCAAAATCCAAAGGTTGGCCGAAGTTCAAAGTTCACTCGCCGCGCAAAGTCCACAGGTTGGTCGTCGTTCAAAGGGCGAAGGTTGGTTGCCGTTCAAGATCGCATTTTGTGGTGCCGTATTTCATTTTCAAGGTTATCAAAGGTCAATAACTTTATTTCTTGCGGTGTCATTCCATTTTTAAGATCATCAGGCCAATGTTTCCAATTTGTTGTCGTGTCATATTTCATTTTCGAGGTCAATGTTCATTTTTTGTGGCGTTATATTTTATTTTCAAGGGTAATACTCAATTTTTGTTAGCCATATAGGATCGATTCTAACTCGACTCAATGTAAAATCTCATATGGCAGTTTTCTAGTGTCAATTTGAAGGTGGCGTTAAAGGTCTAAAGGTTAGCGACCGTTTGGTAGAAAACCAAATAAAGGCATAGGCGACTTTCTAGGACAACCTTACAGAAAGGCTTCACGTAAGCGATAACTCCTCAAAAGACACACTTAGACTACTTCGTAAACGTGAACAACGCTTCAGCTTAACGTTCACTTTTATAACGACGTCACTAACTTTCTTCTATAACAGATTTTTATAATCTCAAAGACTGACCGTCTTTTAAAAACAAGCTGGATTATGGCAGACACTAAAAATGCACCCTGAACAAAAAGCTTAACCAAAAAAGATCCGTTTCCCGTCTTCTTCACCTTCTTTTCCACCTTCATCAAAATTAAAGCGCATCTTTGAATAACTGAACACCTGTACTCCTTATCTAAAAGTAATTAACTTTAGGCAGTGATAATGAACTCTTATCGCCCTGACCGGAGATAAACTTTTTCAATAACAACCCGCAATTATATCCAGATGTCCCCTAACCCTTTACGCTTAATTTAAATTTGCAATTATAAATCAAAATAAAGCGGATCATCAAATTGCATTCCACCACATGCGCAATTTTTTCATTTCCATCCCGCCTACCTTGATATGTTTGTGTAAAACTCGTAACTATACACTGTTCAATTTTTAGAGCTTTCGCATCTCTGGGAGCCAATGATGAGGACATACGAAAACGTATTATCGAGACGAACAGACTAATGGAGAGAGTAGTGGACGGTTTGGGTGATCCAAACGAAGGTGTTAGATTAGCGGCTATACGTTGCCTACATTCCTTAAGCAGATCAGTTCAACAGTTACGCACAACGTTTCAAGATCATTCCGTGTGGCGTCCTTTAATGGCTCTACTTACAGGTAGTCATTGCGGAACTTGAAGTGCCATTTAATTATTACTATATTTGTTTAGGTTCACCCCCTCTTGAACTACTAAGCGCCGCGTCTTCCACATTGTGTAATTTACTACTGGAATTTTCACCTGCAAAAGAGCCTATGTTACAGCAGGGAGCAGTACAGTTGCTGGCAACGTTAACGACAAGAAACGAACCTGCTCTACGGCTAAACGGAGTGTGGGCCTTAATGAATCTCGCTTTTCAAGCGGAGCAGCGCGTCAAGTCACAAATACTAACTGCTTTAGGAACCGATCAGATATTTCGTCTCTTAGCCGATTCGGATACAAGGATATTGATGAAAACATTGGGGTTACTGAGGAACCTAGTGTCGCCCCGTGCCCATACGGACGCTATGATGACGCTTCATGGGCCCCAGGTGATGCAGGCTGTCGTACTGGTGCTGGAGGGCCCGCATTCGCCCGACGTTAAAGAACAGGCGCTTTGTATTTTGACGAATATTGCCGACGGCGAACGAGCCAAGGACCATATTATGGCCAATGATGACGTTTTAAAAAAATTAACCGACTATATGACTCATCCTTCTACACGTTTGCAAATCGCTGCAATTTACTGCATCACTAATCTCATCCGACAGGAAGAACCTGGCGCCGCCGAGCGCCAACTACGACTAAGAGAGATGGGCGTTGTAAACATACTCAATCAACTTTCTACAACTCCCGACAATCTTCTATATGATAAGTAAGACGTTCTTTGGGAATTTTTGCTTGACATCATATTTTACAGGGTAAAAATGGCGCTGGTGCATTTTCCAGAATACTAAGCCACTGTTGTAAGTCTGATCCGTGAAAGATAGGAAAAACATGACGTACCTTTTTATAAAAATTCTTGTTAGTAATTTATTTCAGTTATATAGTGCGAATTGTAGGTTATGTATAATTATACACTTGATGTGTTGTAAATATTTTTTAAATGTATTTTGTGATTGTAACTCAAAACAATATTTGATATAAAAGATTTATTATTACAATTTTATTAATTGTCAAGATATTTATTGTACTACAGAGTGCAACATAAGTGTGTAGAAAAGAAATTGGGTGGATCGAAACAAATATTTCTTCCAAAGGGGTTAAAAAATCTTTTGGGCAGAATGGCTTGTTTAATTTTCGAGTTCTGACGTACCTAAAATCCCTTTAGTTTGCAGTCGGTATTCAACACACAAGCACAAATTATACTATTATATTATTTCATCTCTATCTAGCCCATGCGAAGAAAAAGACATTAGTGGTCTTGCAGTGGGCGGCTACTTGCGACTGTTTTTATACTAGACGACGTATTCTTTCAAAAGTATATTTTTTATCTAGAGCACCCGAAAACCCTAGAAAGGGTGTAGAGCTTTGACTTCACATTTTCTAGAACTCTTGAGGGTGTTGCAGAGCAATAGAATTCAGGTTCTTCTAGATATCTTCAAAAGCCTTGCCTGTTCTCCATTCTAAGGTCTCTTTAGGTCCTCTGTAAAGCTAACAAGACATTTTTAGGCCTGCCTGGAGATTTTCAGAGCCATCTCTGCTCGTCGCGGGCCTACTAGAACTATTTAAGTCCTATTCAATGTTCTTGTTCAAAAGGAATCTGAATTAAAATGCTACCTTACTACTTGTATATTTTACCAAACATGTTACAATTCACTCACACTCACAAATAACAAAACAGTGCGTAAAACTACAGTAAATAACAATACTATTTAGGTGTAACCGGATCTTTTATCGCTTTTTTAACATCACAACTAAATGAAACTGTCATTGCATATCGAGTACCGGAAGCAACACGTTCCACATGATGCGTATTTTCACGTCCCGAAGTAAACATTACCACCCTTCCCTTACGAGGTTCAAGAGTAACGTTAGTCTTTTGAGTATCCAAAAATGTTAGTCGCCCACCTGCAAATTCTCTTCCGTAATCAGCAAGATATAATACGGAGGTATAGTGAAATGATTTGTTGACATCCTAAAACAAACATCTGGATAATCTTAGTGTTTAAACGGCGTAAGATACCACCTCATCCACGTGTACATGCCAATACTCGTTGTGCACAGTTTTAGGGTCTAAATTCGTCACCCTAGAAAAGAAAGTGGGATGCGCGATTTGCAGTTGATTAATACCGATTTGGAATGTTTCTGCAATTGCATGCTGGATTTTAGCTTTAACAATCTTATAGACGGCCAAGTCTGCCGGATTCAATATATTTTTGGACTCGACAAAGGAATGTATATTAACTAACTGCTCTCCGAAGGAGAGAGCTCCGGAATGTAAATCTAAAATAGACACGCCACGGTCGGAACTGCCTAAAGCAAAACCCCGTTTTGCAATTTTCAATAAAACCTCCACTTCATTGGTTGTTACTATCTTATCGGAAATGTAACGACCACACTTCTTCGGTTCGCAATTGGCAAACTGCTTTACTTCCGTTAGATAATTGGAGTCACATTCGAAAACTTGCCCTCGGCGCTGCACAACATCTTTCTGTTTGGCGAGAGGCGTTTCCTTTCCATCTTTAGCCGTGTACCAAATGTACGTTATAACACCGAGAATCACTACGAAACGGCTCCATATTCGTTGTTGTGAAAGGAATCCGAAACTAAGCTTCCTATTGAAAGGTCATTAAAGGATTGATTTTTAGTGACACATTCAGCATACTCAGGTTTTGCATTTGGGATCTTTGCCTCCTTTTCTTTTATCTTTTTGGTTGCCACTGCCATGCGGACTTCGAGCACAGAGTGACTACAAGTGGACTTTTAAATCAGCACTAGCTTTTCATACGATGACGCAGCCATATTGAGAAACTGAATAAATTAATTATGCTTTTTAGGTAAATTTAATAATGTCAAAAGTAATTATCCTCAAACAGAATTTAAATATGTATTAATTTACACATAATTCCTGATTTTAAAATTTTGAGAGCTCATACGGTGAAGAGGGTCACGTTTACTTTTAGATGCTAGTCTAAGTCCCCGGGACGTGAATTTAGACACAAGTAAACATGTACAATTTTTAGGTTAGGTATTGAATTTTAATTTCTCTCCTGAGTTTTGGCCTTTTTTGATTTAATAGGAAAGGTATGTCTGTTGATACATTGCCAATTAGCATAGGATTCGGGTGGGTAAAGCCTATTGTTATCATTTCCTAAATATTCCTTAAATTTGCAGGGGAGGTGCCGAATTGCTGTTTGGTAACAAGAAAAACTTTGCGATTTCATTACCTGTACAAGAAATTACCAAGTGTAAGTTGAAACCGCATTCTGTATGTTTAAGTAAGTTCTTATGTATAGGGCAAATCTCAGATCTACTCAAATGGATACAGGATAATTTATTAAAGGAAAGACCCGAGTTATTTATACAAGACAATTCAGTGTAAGTGATTGAAAAGTATTAATTTTTTTCTTATATGAATTTGATTTAGGAGGCCGGGTATACTCGTTTTAATTAATGATGTCGATTGGGAACTTATGGTAGGTGTTACATAGCTACAGGGTGGTTCAGCTTATATTATTGTGTTTTCGCAGGACACAATCAATTATGTGATTCAGCCCAATGATGAAATTGTGTTTATATCCACTCTTCACGGCGGATAGTAGTGATTTAGTTTTAATATGAAATATTGAAATGTTTGTTATACGTCTTATTGTTTAGAATTAAAACCTCTTACTCTGTACAAACACAAAAAAGTGTACTCTTCAATGAAAGCTATTGATTGGCATTAAAAAAATAAACTCCCTTTGACCTTGGAGAAGTACGCCATTGACCGCAATACCTACATAAGTAGACTATTATTGGTAGAAAACTGTTCATAATTTTGGTCTTTGGAACGAACGCAACTTTTAGGTCCGGAGAGATCGTGGCAACCGCGGTCGGCCTAATACGTTTCTTGTCGCTTGTTATCGCCAGACATACTTTTGTTCACGTTCGCTGTAAAGCGATACACACAAGTTTAAATTTCTGAAACGGTAAAGTAGTCATCCTATTACACTAGGTATATAAGCATTGTCTAATGTCCAGGTTTGTCCAGAAGGCGCGGTCGCACGCAAAAGATAAAATAAATCTATTTACACGCCGCCTGGTATGAAACTCAATTACTAATAAGAACTAAAGCTGCATACACACACCCATGGACCGAAATTAAAATAAATAGAGAAGTCTAATGAAATACTATTGCACCGGCGTTAATGATCTTAGTTAATGTGTACATTAATAAACTAGGTAATTGTAAATAATTTACGTTACAATATTTACTTTAAATGCGCGCTTCAAAGATATTAGTTTTTTTCGTCTTTTCGAATGTTTAAAACAACATTTTAACAACAGCAAAGCAAATAAATCAATATTTCTCCATAAAAACGGCCATTAAGTATGCACAAGTGCCTATAATTAATTAGGTAGTAGATAGATCCGTGTTACCTGAAGTCTAAAATTAATTCTCAACTTTCCCGCATTTGTACGAAAACGCTTTTATCGCGAACCCTCGTAGTGTCACTGTACCTATTTAACTTGATTGATCGAACCCAAAATCGCTAGGAAATTTGCACGTACACGGCAACAATGTGGAAAAGCCAAACTGTAATCAATTATACGCGTCTCTAGAAAGCTCCTTACAGGAATAATTATTGCCAAGATTATATTTGATTTGAATTTCAAAACGATTCGAATCGCAGGAACAAGTTTTAAGTGAATGAAGAGGCGACGTTTCATTGATTCCATTTCATTTCATCTTTGTGGGAAATCGTTTATTATAGCCGTTTGACCTTATCGGAGATCTGCGTTATTTCTATTTTCAATATTGCCTGAAATCTGGAGAGTTGTACACTATATGAATATTGTTGAGGTTTATGAGTTTGTTCTTAAGTTGAGATGCAAAAACAGATTACTTTCAGCTGTATTATAAATCAACATAATTGTTTGTTAATCTGCATGCCATTAGATCATTGCTCACTACTCAGAGCTGGGCAGAATACTTTCAAAAAGTATTTGAATACTAAATAGTAAATACTTTACACAAATCAAAGGTATTTGAATACTAAATACTTTTACGTCCAGCACAAGCAAATACTAGATACAGATACATTGAAAAGTATTCAAATACTTTAAAAAATAAGTATTCAAATACTTTAGAATGTATTCGAATACTTTCAAAAGTATTCTAATACTATCAAAGGTATTCGAATAGGTACTATAATAAAAAGTATTCGAATACTTTAGAATGTATTCGAATACTTTCAAAAGTATTCTAATGCTATCAAAGGTATTCGAATACTATAAAAAGTACTCGAATACTTTGAAAAGTATTCGAATACAGTAAAAAGTATTCAAATACTTGTCACTCAAATACATTAAAAATTTAAAATAGTATACCTACTAGTAAAAGTCTTAATACTACCTACTTAAAAAATCAAGTTATACCATGTATGGGGTTAGCTTTTTTTATATGCTATTGTTATATACCTACAAATTTAAGGGTAGTAAAAGCGTATTATTATTATTATATAGGAGGTACCTACCAGGACCTTTCTTATACCAGTTATATCCTTAAGAATACGTGTACGAATTTTGAAAGGGATCGTACGTCGTGCACATGATACGTACGCCTTCATGAAATTAATCCTGGCGATTTTGGAACAGATCCATTTTTGACCATCCGTTTTTCCGTGTGCATGATAACTTGTTTAGAAACATGCGATCGCTTTGAAAATTGGTACACATGGTCTTAAGGATATTGTTTTTAAGTTACGTAGACTATCGAGTCCAAAAGTTTCACTCCAGGATCGTTCGGTATTTTGAGGGGCGAAAAAAAATTGTCTCTTTCGAAAATGGCGAGGAAAATGGTTTCTAGTCTAGAACTTTTGATTGAGAAGTCTGATCGAAAAAGTACAAATTGTTTTGGATTCTACGCACCAAAATTAATAAGAAAAAGTGTTTTCCCGAGAAATTTTGGTGCAGTCGATTGTTGGTAAAAAAGGAAGGTTATACACTGCCTTTTTTTGAGACGCGAAAAGAAAATTGTCTCAGATCGACCCGGAAAAAAAGTTTCTTATTGAATGTAGCCTGTAGAATCCATAATTTCAAACAGTTCCAAGATTGGGCTACTAGTTCAAAAGTTACAGCCCTTTGAATTTTCTTTCGAAAATGGTTGCTGGTCTATAAATTTGGATTGAGTAGTCTGATCGAAAAAGTACGAATTGTTTTGGATTCTACGCACCAAAATTAATAAGAAAAAGTGTTTTCCCGAAAAATTTTGGTGCAGTCGATTTTTGATAAAAAAAAGGAAGGTTATACACTGCCTTTTTTTGAGGCGCGAAAAAAAATTTGCTCAAATCGACCCGGAAAAAAAATTTTCTTATTGAATGTTGCCTGTAGAATCCATAATTTCAAACAGTTCCAAGATTGGGCTACTAGTTCAAAAGTTATAGCCCTTTGAATTTTCTTTCGAAAATGGTTTCTGGTTTATAACTTTGGATTGAGTAGTCTGATCGGAAAAGTACGAATTGTTTTGGATTCTACGCACCAAAATTAATAAGAAAGTGTTTTCCCGAAAAATTTTGGTGCAGTCGATTTTTTATAAAAAAAAGGAAGGTTATACACTGCCTTTTTTTGAGGTGCGAAAAAAAAATTTGCTCAGATCTACTCGGAAAAAAAAATTTCTTATAGAATGTGGCCTGTAGAATCCATAATTTCAAACAGTTCCAAGATTGGGCTACTAGTTCAAAAGTTACAGCCCTTTGAATTTCTTTTCGAAAATGGTTTCTAGTTTTGATTTTGATTGAGAAGTCTGATCGAAAAAGTACGAATTGTTTTGGATTCTACGCACCAAAACTAATAAGAAAAAGTGTTTTCCCGAGAAATGTTGGTGCAGTCGATTTTTGGTAAAAAAGGAAGGTTTATACATTGCCTTTTTTTTTGGCGCGAAAAAAAAAATTGCTCAGATCGACCCAAAACAAAATTTCCTTATTGAATGTGGCCTGTAGAATCCATAATTTCAAACAGTTCCAAGATTGGGTTACCAGTTCAAAAGTTACAGCCTTTTGAATTTTCTTTCGAAAATGGTTTCTAGTCTATCACTTTTGATTGAGAGGTCTGATCGAAAAAGTACGAATTGTTTTGGATTCTACGCACCAAAATTAATAAGAAAGTGTTTTCCCGAAAAATTTTGGTGCAGTCGATTTTTGATAAACAAGGAAGGTTATACACTGCCTTTTTTGAGGCGCGAAAAAAAAATTTGCTCAGATCGACCTGGTAAAAAAATTTTCTTATTGAATCTGGCCTGTAGAATCCATAATTTCAAACAGTTCCAAGATTGGGTTACTAGTTCAAAAGTTACAGCCCTTTGAATTTTCTTTTGAAAATGGTTTCTGGTCTATAACTTTGGATTGAGTAGTCTGATCGAAAAAGTACGAATTGTTTTGGATTCTACGCACCAAAATTAATAAGAAAGTGTTTTCCCGAGAAATTTTGGTGCAGTCGAATTTTGATAAAAAAAAGGAAGGTTATACACTTCCTTTTTTTGAGGTGCGAAAAAAAAATTGTCTCAGATCGACCCGGAAAAAAAATTTTCTTATAGAATGTGGCCTGTAGAATCCATAATTTCAAACAGTTCCAAGATTGGGCTACTAGTTCAAAAGTTACAGCCCTTTGAATTTTCTTTCGAAATTGGTTTCTAGTCTATAACTTTTGATTGAGAAGTCTGATCGAAAAAGTACGAATTGTTTTGGATTCTACGCACCAAAATTAATAAGAAAAAGTGTTTTCCCGAGAAATTTTGGTGCAGTCGATTTTTGGTAAAAAAGGAAGGTTATACACTGCCTTTTTTTGAGCCCCGAAAAAAAAATTGTCTCAGATCGACCCGGAAAAAAATTTTCTTATTGAATGTGGCCTGTAGAATCCATAATTTCAAACAGTTCCAAGATTGGGCTACTAGTTCAAAAGTTACAGCCCTTTGAATTTTCTTTCGAAATTGGTTTCTAGTCTATAACTTTTGATTGAGAAGTCTGATCGAAAAACTACGAATTATTTTGGATTCTACGCACCAAAATTAATAAGAAAAAGTGTTTTCCCAAGAAATGCAACTGCCTTTTTTTGAGGCCCGAAACAAAAATTCTCAGGTCGACCCGGAAAAAAAATTTTCTTATTGAATGTGGCCTGTAGAATCCATAATTTCAAACAGTTCCAAGATTAAAGTGAACCTTTTGTTTAGGTTTCGAATGATATTTGTCATATTACAATTTATATCGACGATTGTTGCATTCATCTACAATTAGCCCTTCTATTTAAGAGGCATGCATTTAAGTTTATCAAGAAAGAGGAGATACCTTTGATTTTCTTTTTGGGTTTTAATTGTAGGATTTAAGTTTTAGTTCAAAATCTAGTCTTAATGTACCATCTTAAGTGCGGAAAGGCTTCACCCACCATCCCGTCGACGTACGAGTTTGGAGTTATCCACTCCTTTGACGTGCTTTCCACCTGCTGATAACGAGCGGCCATTTTCTGGAATTGGGTCACCGAGTCATGAACGAGGTTTGATAGCGAGAATCAATCCTCCACAAAGAGGCAACCTCTGTACGCTTTTACCATACTAGCATTAACTATTTTTGTGCTTTCTGGGTTATATGCTACCACATTCAAGTAATTTGTTATTATCTTTGCGATCTCGGTTAATTTAAGATCGAGTTAGTCACGCGAATGCTATTGGAGTCCGCTTCCTTCTGAAGCGATGGCCGATTAAGTACCGTACTTGTGTTAAAA